CTCAGCCTCACCAGGGACCCCAGGTAGCGCTATGACTGCCCATCAGAAATGCAGCTGTCCACAACCTCAATCTCACCAAGAACACCAGGTAGCACACTGTGCCTGCCCATCAGAAATGTAACTGTCTACAGCCTCAGCCTCATCAAGAACCCCAGGTGGCACTGTGCCTGCCCATCTCTACTGTCCACAGGCTCAGCCTCACAAGGGACCCCAGGTAACACTGTGTCTGTCCATCTAAACTGTCCACAGCCTCAGCCTCACCAAGGACCCCAGGTAGCACTACGCTTGCCCATCTAAACTGTCCACACACTCGGGCTCACCAGGGACCCAAGGTAGCACTGTTTCTGCCCATCAGAAATGCAGGTGTCCACAGCCTCAGCCTCACGAGAAACCCCAGGTAGCGCTGTGCCTGCCCATCAGGAATGCAGGTGTCCACAGCCTCAGCCTCACTAGGGACCCCAGGTAGCACTGTGCCTGCCCATCTCAACTGTTCACAGCCACAGCCTCACCAGGGACCCCAGGTAGGACTGTGCCTACCCATCAGAAATGCAACTGTCCACAGCCACAGCCTCAACGGAAAACCCAGGTACTGCTGTGCCTGCCCATCAGAAATGCAGCTGTCCACAGCCTGATCCTCACTAGAAACCCCAGGTAACACTGTGCCTGCCCATCTCAACTATCCATAGCCTCAGCCTTACCAGGAATCCCAGGTAGCACTGTGCCTGCCCATCTCAACTGTCCACAGCCTCAGCCTTACCAGGAATCCCAGGTAGCACTGTGCCTGCCCATCTCAACTGTCCACAGCCTCAGCCTCACCAGGAACCCCAGGTAGCGCTCTGCCTGTCCATCAGAAATGCAACTGTCCACAGCCTCACACTCACCAGGATACCCAGGTAGGGCTGTGCCTGCCCATCGGAAATGCAAATATCCACAGCTCCTACCTCACCAGGAACCCCAGATAGCACTGTGCCTGCCCATCAGAAATACAAATGGCCACAGCCGCAGCCTCACCAGGAACCCCAGGTGGCACCATGCCTGCCCATCAGAAATGCAACTGTCCACAGCCTCAGCCTAACCAGCAATGCCAGGTAGCACTATGCCGGCTGATCAGAAATGCAACTGTCCACAGCCTCAGTCTCACCAGGAACCCCAGGTAGCACTGTACCTTCCCCTCTCAACTGTCCACAGCCTCAGCCTCACCAGGGACCCCAGGTAGCACTGTGCCTGCCCATCAGAAATGCAGCTGTCCACAGCCTCAGCCTCTCCAGGAACCCCAGGTAGCACTGTGCTGCCCATCAGTTTCCTGACATCATGCAGGCTACAGGTTTGGAATTGGAGATCTTTTAGAATCCCACTCCCCAGGGCAGAGTAAGGTAGCACACGCCTGTAATCCCAGCACTTTGGAAGGTGGAGTCAGGTAGATCACCTGAGGTCAGGAGTTAGAGACCGGCCTGGGTAACATGGTGAAAGCCCATCTCTACTAAACAGAGAAAAATTCGTGGGGCATGGTGTCTGGCGCCTGTAATCCCAGCCACTCGGGAGGCTGAGGCAGGAGACTTGCTTGAACCTAGGAGGTGGAAGTTGCAGTGAGCCAAGATCCCATCAGTGCTCTCTGGCCTAGGCGACAAAAGCGAAATTGCATCTCAAAAAAAAAAA